TAATTTACTATAACTTGAGTTTGCTCGTTTTGTAATTTGCTAGATTCTCGGTCCATCTCTTCCTCACAGCACATGAAACTTGTTAATAAATCCTAACTGGGAGAGCAATCAGGTTTACTCTCAATGTTCTACATAAAAACATATGATACTTCACCTTTCATTTGCATGTTAACAATTGATTTTTCTCATTAATTATAAGGCATTTGAAGAAAAAAGGAGTTTTCTAGGAGTAGGTTTTTTTTTGTCTTCATTGTGACTCGTCACTCTTTCAGAGGAGGAGCTGAGGAAACTGAAGGATGAGTCCCACATAGATTCACTTAAACAGGAACTGGAGAAGGAACGATGCAAACGCATTGAGCTGGAACAGAAAGTCAATGATGCCATAAAATTAGGGTGGGTTGTTTTACAAGACTTTCCAATCCAATTTTCCTTTATTTCTTGACTGACATTTTATCTATCTCCTCAGAGTTGAGGATTTTCCATCTCAGTCACCAAAACCTCCATCCCCTCAACCTTCTCTAAGCAGCAGTACAGGTTAGAACACCCACTCCTTGCTTTGTCTTTTTCATATTAAGTCTGAAAAAAATAAATTTCCCAATCAGTTTTTGTAATCACTGAATCAAACCTCTTATTTTGTTAGAAAAACATAAAGAGACTGTATACAACAGCTTCCTGAAATGGCTTTACAATCGTTTTGGAGTTTACATTGAAGACTTCCGCTTCCAGCCAGAGGAGACAACTGTGGAGACGGAGGAGCCACTAAGTGCAAGGAGGTAAGGAAAATGCTAGACATGTCTCTGAGAGGAGCATTTAGAGTGAAAAGGTTCTAATGAAAGTTGTATTTATTTTAAATCAAAAGTTGATCTGATCTGTTGTAATTGATCCTCAGGCTGACTGAAAACATGAGACGCTTCAGTGAGTATTTTTGTCTTTGATCTTGTGTGTACTCTTTTCTGCGGATAATTATAAGTATGGTAGAGTATTATTTTTATATAGGAGTAAAAAATAATATGCTTGCTGAAAGATAAAAAATAATAAACATTAGAGGTCCCTTGATGGATCCCTGTGGAACCCCACATACAGATCCTTTTGAGTACTTTTGGTTACACAACCCCCCAGATGCTTTGCTGTACAACATTTTCTTTCCACAAAAATTAACAGCAAGAAAGATGAGTCTGATATGATGGTCTGCCTGACCTTGTGATTTTAGAACGAGGGTTCAGACCTGTGACAAACTTCATGAGGAACCTGTCTGCCTTATCCAGCTGGTACTCTGTGTACACGTCTACCATTGCCTTCATTGTAAGTCCATACACAGACAATGTCTCCGTGTTCCACTAAGCACCACACACATCTATTAAATAATAGTAACAGTGTCCAGGCATGAAATATATTAAAATATATAATTAGTAATTATCTAATGCAAACCTGACAGTTAGGGCTGGGTGATATACAGTAGTTGAAAAATGTATCATGCTATAAAGGTTTCTTATCAATGGATATTGATAATTATTGATTAGTTTTTTGTTTTGTTTTTAATATGTGTAATACTGCCAGATACTCGTGACCTTTCCTGCTTTTTATTCGCAACTTCCTCTCGAGCTGTTGTTCTCCTCTATTCACTCTATGCCATTATTTTTTACTTTTAAGCAGTTATGAGACCCGAAATTGCTGCTGTCCAAGTTACTCAACAGGTTGTTGCTAGGTAACCAAAGAGTGTGTGAGTTAGTTGATGCCAACCTTACTTAGCTGGCATTGAGAGACTGAGCAGCTAAAGTCATTCCCCTGCCTACATCCTCCAGAATGCTGTGCAGTTCTGAATTTAAGTTCAGTGAAATTACTGAAAATTCTATTGGACGTATTTTTTATTGATATTAATCTCTTGCCTATGGTGATATAAATTGTTATTGATGTGTTGTCCAGCCCTACTCACACTGTGCACATTTGTAGCCTTGTATCTGTTGATGAACAACTGCCAAGAGCTCCTTTTATATAGCTGTAGCGATTCATAGCTCAGGTGGGTGAATCTGAAGAAAGAACAACTAGTATTTGTGATTCCTGCCATTATGACTGAGTATGAAAAGAATTCCCATTTAAAGCTGTCCACAAACCTTGCAGGTAACATAACAATTTGGTGAAAGGTGTTTTAATCAATTAAAGCTACTTCTTGCATGGAACATGTGAGTGGCAGGATTGGGCTTTTGTATTGTTTTCATTAGTAGGGGCAGGGATCCTGACAAACAGGTGCACTTCATATTTTGTTATATGAAATAGAATTTGGTCAAAATTAAACTGAATTCCCATCTGATCGTACAGTCAGATCCATCCACATACAGCAGCATGTGTATATGGTAGCAATGGAGGTAGGAATCTGTCCTGTAATCAGTGGCTCGCTAGTTTGAGCCCGTGTCTCGTACGTCTCTGTTGTTGTGTCCTTGGGGCTATAGACTTCATCCACCTTTCCTGCTGGTGTTGGTCAGAGGGTTGATGATGTTGCATACCAGCTCTCAGCTGTGGTTACGATCATGTGTCAATGTTTGTGTGAATGGAAATGACCGATTTCATTGTAAAGCATCTTTGAACTTTATAAGTCAGCTGTATAAGTCTGATGTCATTTAATTTAAATTATGGCCAAATTACAGTAGACTTAAAGCCAGTCAGTTGTATAATGGCAGTTGGTGAACCATTCTGGAGAAACTTTTAAGATGGTGCCTTACAGAAACACTGGCTGTGTGTATTGACAGGTGTACATGTATGCAGCGTGGCATGGCTGGGCCATCCCCATGTTCCTGTTCTTCGCAATTCTCCGCCTTTCCCTGAATTATCTTATTTCCAGGTGAGCTCCCCAGCACATTCAACCACTCATATTTAAAGACAGACCCAGACAAAAAAAAAACTTTGTGTTAAACTGCAAGTCATGCTCTTATTCAGAACAGAAACTTTACTTCAGCAATTCCGTAAGATCAAATAAAATCTTGGTTAAAAAAAAAATTGTTTTAGTACTGACACTTTAGTGGTTCTATTTCGCATAGACTTCGTCCTTTAAGGCTATCGCTAGTGGGCTCGGTCTCCCTCAGGATGTGGTGCGCCCTGAATGGTGCGCATAGTAATATTCGCAGCTAATATTCGTTGGTTACAATACGTAACCAACGTTACTGTTTTTAACCACAGATAATTAAAAGAGTCGTTCCATAAGAAACTACACAAGCACATTTCCTAACTCTTAAGTATTTATTTTATATATATATATATATATATATATATATATATTTATTTTTTCTCTCTATGTTCCCATGATAAACCACTCTCAGAGGCTGGAGGATCCAGTGGAGCATCGTACCTGAAGTGTCTGAGCCATTGGTGAGACATCTCTCTTTACTCTATCAGGCACACTTATTATAAAAATGTTAGTTTCTTTTTTTTTTACACCTACAGAAGTTGTTGATTTAATTAAAATTGTTGAGGCTGGTTCCTGGCTCATGGCTCTATTGTTTTCAAGGAACCTCCAAAAGAAGACTTAACTGTATCTGAGAAGTTCCAGTTGGTTCTCGATGTTGCTCAGAAAGCTCAGGTGAGAGAAGATGCACTAAGAGATTGTGTAGGTCGGAACTGAAACCTCTTGTTAAAATATTTCACTCATATCCAATCATTGTGAAGCTTTGATCTGTTGATACCAATTGTGGACAATTTTAGTTTAGGGTCCATGATATAAGAAGATGTAATAACAGCATTCAGAATATTTCTGTAGCATCCTGGTTTTACTTTGTTAAATAAAGAGCAGAGGATACATCACACTATGGTAGTGTGGTGTGCCCTGTTGTTGGTCCAGTTGTTCTGATGTCTGACAGCTGTGCGGCAGTGCAGGGAATTTTCGTGATCTGGGGGACACCACTCTTTCCGAACCCAAGTCATCGACTGTTTCAGTATGGTTTCCCTAGAATTTGGTGAATCCTTCCCAAAGAACCTTTATGTTACTTCTGAGTGTGTCACAGTGTAGTTTTTGGAGAACAGCCCTGACTGTTTCCAAGCGAGAGAAGAAGTCGCCCCTGAGATTAAAAGAAAAAAAAGTCCTGAATTCCTGCAGGTGAACAAACCATCCGCAGTATAAGACACTACCCACTTTTGGAGGCCTTAGTCTTCGACGTGGCTGTTACAGGTTTGATTCCTGACTTCGTGATCTTTGCCACATGTCTTCTCTCTCTCTTTCCCTACTGTCTGTCTGAGTACTTTCAAATAAAGGCCACTATAGCAACAAACCTTTTAAAAAAATCCAATGTTCCAGTCTGTTTTGACTGTTGTTTTTCTCACATCCACACAGAATCTTTTTGGAAAGATGGCCAATATCCTTGAGAAGATAAAAAAGTGAGTTTGTTTGCAAATGTTTTATATGTAGCTGAAGTAAAAGTCATTGAATAGAGCTCTGTACTATACTGAATTTGTGTGTGTTTAGTCTGTTCATGTGGGTCCAGCCAGAGTTGACTCAAAAGCTCTACGTGGGACTGTGGGTGGCCTTTATCTCCTCGTGCCTGTTACCTTACCAGCTTCTGGGCTTCATCATAGGTACATTATTAGATTCACAAACTAGGACCAGCACTCAACAGAGACTTTCAGAAAGACTTGGAAACATATCAAATTACAAACTCATCTGCTCAAACAAGCATTTTCACTTTGGTTGATCTACACAAAAGCTCTTTTTTGTTTTCTATTTTAAAAATGTTTGCTTCAAATTTTATTGCTTTTCTTTTTGTAAAGGTATGTACCCTGAACGGCACATTTTTACATGTCAGAATTTTTTGTGCTCTGCAAGTTTCAGAATTTGTCTCTACCACAAACTTTGAGTATGAAAGCTGCACATTGTGTAATGCATGAGGCTCCTGGCCACCAGCTGGTTCCTCTGTGTGGCCTCATAATAGATGATGAGGGAAAGAGTTGGAACATTTACAATAGTGTAGGTCCATCACAATAAAAGGAGGCAGCTGGTCATTAAACTGAGACTCCTGCATTTTGATTTTTGGAGTGTGTTCACCTTGTAATACAGGTACAAACAGAGCAAAGAAACTCAGTCAAAATGATCAACTTTTCCTGGAGGACTTCCCAAGTTGTCTTCTGAATCACCATGTTTCAGAAGAAAACATGGTGATTCAAGTTTGTACACACCCATAGTTTCCAGTTTTCATTTCCAGCATTACACCACACTCTTTGAACACATTCCTGTGCCTTAAATGGATTCAAACACAGAAATGAAACTTGCTTTCCTCCAGCATCCGGGCCATATAACCAAATTTACCAAACAATCTGATTTATTTAATGTGCTCCCTGTTGGAGAAGTTGTTCACACTGCGGACTACACTGGGTTACAGAAATATATATATTTTGGAAGTTGTCTGTTTTTTCAACTGAATTAGGATTATTTTGCACCGTTGAATCCAAAAATGACATCCATTTTTCTCAATCAAGTCAGGTCACTAAATTGATGACACTTTTGTGACATTTTCAGGTCATTTCTGTTAATATTTCTCATCCAAAAAAGGTTTTAGGAGAAAAGATGGTTTTCTAACAGAATGTATTAATTAAATGTCGCAAACTTGGATTTCTGTAAATTGAATAATAAACACTAAGTACATGTGAATTGAACATTACGTCTTCATTGTGTAAAATTCTGTCTCTTTTCTGTCCTGATGGAATCTCTCCTCCTCCTCTTGATCAGATTCTCAGGAAACCGATCCAGATGTGAGAACAAGTCATGCATTTGATGCTCATGTTGTTCCATAGTTCAGAAAGTTGACCTGATTGAGCAAAACCATTGTGATTTTTATTTTATTTTTTATTTTATTTTTTTGATTCAGCACATCAAAATGACCCTAAAACAGTTGAAAAACCCCAGACAATTTTTTGGCTGTTAACCAGTGGAATAATTTATTTTTTTTTGCCTCTCAGGTGGTTATGCAGGTATCAAGTTCTTTATCATTGACTTCATCTTTAAAAGTTGCCCCAAGCTACGGCAGCGCTTTGACACCCCCTACATCATCTGGACCAACTTACCCACCGACCTGCAGCTGAAGGAGCGCAGCAACACCACCTTGAGCAGACGGGTCAGTCCCAACTCTAAAACACACTCGCACACGCACCTCATGGGCTGCATCCAGCCTGGTAGAGCTCAGGTGGAAACCGCATCGCAGGAGAAAGAAACTGTGCGTTGTGAACTTCCTGTTCCCTCTCTGCTCCATGGGAACCAGCACAGTCTGCACAGCTGCTGTCACCTCTCAGTTTGTCTTTATTCTTCCTTCTCAGCTGTCTGAGTGTGAACAGGTAGGATCTGCTGTCTCCGTGTTGTACAGTCATACTTTAGAGGTCTGTGGTTGCTATGGGTACACATATAGATTCATCAGCAGCAGATACTATACATCTGATGCCCTCATTGACTGTGTGTGTCCTTGTGAGCTGCAGGGCAGATACACAAGTATGAGGCGTAGATTGTCCTTATAGACCTATTCATTTTTAGCTTTTTCACATTTTGTCACAGCACAACCACAAACAATAAAAAAAATATATATTTAAAAATTCTGAAGTGTGGCAAACATTTACTGTTGAAACCAGGTACTTACATACACCAAATAAAAAGACTTTTTTTTTTCTTGTTGTCTGAAGTCAAATCAGAGCAAACTTCTCGTATTTTAGATTGGTTATAATAATCAAACTTATTTTGAATTGCTAAATACCAGACAACTTAGCAGGGAATTTTTTTACGTCCATCAGTTTTCGGTAAACCCTGAATGGTTCTCCAATTCATCGCAGGGTGTTTGACCTTTACTTTATAACTTAGGCTCAGTCGTATTGTGAGAACATCAATCTGCAAATCATTTAGATTTTGTCTGGACTTCAGCTAAACCATCCCATAGTATCTCTGGCTGAATGTTTAGGGTCGTGTCGCTGCAGGAAGTCAAATCTCCACACAATTCTGAAGTTACTTACAGCCTCTAATGTCGTAGGGCGGATTTACTTCCTGCATTACACTTTACCCAGCACTGTTCTGGCTAAAGAAAAGCAATCCCACAGTATGATGCTGCCATCACCGTGTTTGTGTTTTCATAGTGATGTGAGGTTTGTTTTCCTTTACATAGTGCAAACAGTTCCACTTTGGTCTTTAATGACCAGATCATATGTAGTTTGTGGTAAACTGCAAACAAATCATCTTATTGTTTTTTAATGTATCACTAATAAGTTATATTTTGCAAGACTAATGGGGATATTGTTTTAGGACCTACACTGCACTTGGTTTTATTGAGAGGCTTTAAAGCGAGAGGGGCTGAAATTCTTTTAAGTCTTTTTTTTTTTTTTTTTGGTAAAGGAATGGAAATTAAAACCGGGTTTTCTTCATTCCACATCAGAGTCCTGCACTACTTTGTGAATGAAATAAAATAATAAAGTTTGTGGTTGTTATATGACAAAAATGTGAAAAAGTTCAACAGAATTGACTTGTTGTGAAAGGCACTGTCTCCTTGCTTCGTAGATTTAGACAGTAATGAGGAGTAATGCTGAACCCTTCCAGTGACTTTTTTTTTCCAAACAGGCAACCAACATAGAAACTTTTTTTCTGTGATATTGAAGACAACATGTGAAAGCACCAGTTATTCTGCAACTCTGCTTTGCTCTGAGAACTGAGTGCTGCTGTAAGCTCCTCCCACCTCCTGACCACAGCAGTCAGTCTCACACAGTCGTGTTGGAACCAATCAGATAATTTAAGTGCAGTAGCCACTCTTGGCCAACAAGACTGACAGTAATTTGTCAAACTATACAAATATACAGAAAGTCACAATTTTCAGGAAAACGAATATCACAATTAAAGACCGTTTAACTCCAAAAAAAAAAAAAAGTTTATTTGGGGTTTAGTTACTCTGTAAATCTATTGTTTCAAATTGGTTTCCTTGAGAACAAAAGTCCTGCAACTTGTAAATGTTTTTTTTTTTTGTCCTACACACGTGAATTAAATGGTTAAACTGCTTCTCAGTCATGCAGTCAAATGCTACTTGAGCACCTGCCCTTTTTGCTCCTTGCCCCAAAGTGCCCTTTTGGTCAAATTTTTTTTTTTTTTTTTTT